GGGGCCAAACCCAGCGGTTGTGGCCACAAGCTGGGTTGACCACCTGCAAATCAAGTGCTACCAGTTTGACTATATATCTCCAGCTCCTCTAAGTAAATTTCTTTAACTAAAACGATTTTTCTGGAGCTGGAGAAATAGTACAGGGTGTAGGGAGTTTGCTTTGCACACAACCAACCCGGGTTTGATCCCCGGCATCCCATATGGTCCCCCGAGCACCGCCAGGAGTAATTCCTGAGTGCAGAGCCAAGAGTAACCCCTGAGCTTCGCCAAGGGTGACCCAAAATGGAAAAAAAAAAAAGAAAGAAAAACACCTATTTTTCTGAGAGATAGGAGAAAGGATTGGCAGCTAGCATCCAGCCTCTGGCAAACTATCTTTCTTGTTCACGGTTATTTCTGGCTCCTCACATAGGAATCATTCCTGCCTGTGTTCAGGGAACCAAAAGGGATGCCAGGAATCAAACCTGGGTCAGCTGTGTGCAGGGCAAGCACTCTATCCACTGTAATATCTCTTCAGCTCTACAACTTTTTAAAGAGATCATACCAAGGAACCCAGGGCTTCACGCATGCAAGGTATATGCTCGTCCACTGAATCACACCCCAGCCCATGTCAAAGGGAAGACCTTCAAGAAGTCACGGTCACGGTCCTCCCGTTGTTCATCGATTTGCTCGAGCGGGCCCAGTAACGTCTCCATCGTGAGACTTGTTGTTACTGTGTTTGGCATATCGAGTACGTCACGGGGAGCTTGCCAGACTCTGCCTTGTGGGCGAGACACTCTCGGTAGCTTGCGGGCTCTCCAAGAGGGGCGGAGGAATCGAACCCGGCTCGGCCAGGCTGGCTGCGCGCAAGGCAAACACCCTACCGCTGTGTTATGGCTCCAAACCCACAAAATATGAGACCCCAACAGCCATAAGTCTGGACTAATAAGTTAGGATCCCACTTCTGACCTGGTTGAACTAAAATATGTTTTTAATGGAATCACCATGAGATACAGTTACAAAGCTTTCATGATTGACTTTCAGTCATACGATGTTCTAACACCCCTCCCTCCACCAGTGTACATTTCCCACCACCAATATCTCCTGTATCTCTCCCACCACCCCTCCCCAGCCTGCCTCTATGAAAAGCACATTTCTCTCCCTCTCCCTCTCTCTCTCTCGCTCGCTCATTCGCTCGCTCGCTCTGTGTGTGTGTGTGTGCATGTGTGCGTGTGTATATGTGTGTGTGTTTCTTTATCTCTCTCCTTTTGGGCATTATGGTTTGCAATACAGATACTGAGAGACATATATATATATATATATATATATATATATATATGTCCCAGGTGTGTGGGACCCGGGGCTGAGATCTCCAAGCCTGCACGGTTTGGGACTAGACCTGTCAGTAGCTAGACAGTTACACCCACCAACTGCCGTGTAACCCCAACAACGGCCAGGATCCAGAGATTATCACACTCAGCTCCTGGAAGCGCGCGGCCATCTTATCATCTCATTCCTACTTTGGACAAACTGGCAGGCTACCGAATGTCACCTGCCCACACGGCAGAGTCTGGCAAACTCCCCATGGCATACCAATATGCCAAATACCAATAACAATGATGGGTCTCATTCTCCTAACCCTGAAAGAGCCTTGAATATGGCACTTTAAAAAAAAAATCTCAGGGCTAGGACGAAGGAGACGTTACTGGGGCCTGCTCGAGGCAATCGACGAACAACAGGGTGGTCGTGATCATGATATATATATATATATATATATATATATTTGCCTACATTCAGTGTACATCTCCCACACAGAGCGATCCCTTCCAACCATGACTATCATAATGGTCCCTTCTCTGTCCCAACTACCCTCTCCTCCAGCGACTATTATAGACTCAAATTTTTGATGGATCTATCCCTCTCTCGGGATTCATTCAGCCTGTCTTAATTTTTATGGTACCTTCTTCCTACTTTCATAGTGGGCAGGGAAGGGGGGGGATCTTATCAGGGGATCTTATCACTTACCAGGGTGTATTGGATTAGTCAAGCTCCCTAGTCAGATTTCTTGAGGATGGGGGCCAGAGAGATGGTACAGTGGGTAGAGCACTTGCTTTGCATGCAGACAACCTGGGTTCAATCCCTGGTATCACATAAGGTTCCAGGGTGGAAATAAAGAAGATTTCCTGGGGTTGTCAACTAAGTGGAGTCATTGTGCTGCCTCAAGCCCCAAATCAAAACTGTTTCGGATGTAGGTTCCTCATGTACTTTGCCCTGTGCGTCCCCGGGCAGATAGCCAAGAGTGCTCTGTGGGGGACAGCATAACCAGAGGGCACATTTCATCTCTGGTTCTTCAATTTTGCTTTTGGGCTACATCCGGCAATGCTCAGGGATTCCTCCTGGTTCGGTGCTCAGGAACCACTCCTGGCAGGCTCAGGGGACCATATGGGATGCCGGGGATCGAACTCCAATTGGCCGCATGCAAGACAAGTGCCCTACTCATTGTGCTAACACTCCAACTCCCGAACTCAGGTTCTTTTTTTTAAAGTCACTTCATTTCCTCACTCCTACTTGCCAAATGAGCATGCCTCAGTCACATCCTTGGCTAAAGTGATAGCCAAGGAGCCTGACAAAACCTGATGGCAAAGTGTCTGCCATCTAAGTAGGAGGCTGAGAGTCTGATCCCAGGCATCGCCCACCTGCACCACGCTCGGTGCAAGCAGCTCTATTGGGGACTCCAGCCCTACAGGGGAGTGTGTGGACTCTGTAGTCCCCACAGCCTGGTTCGTGTGAGCACCGCAGAAGCGAGCCCTGGTGAGCACCAACCGAAGATGTGAGCATGCCAACCAAGGAAATGGGTAGCCCCTGTCATCCAGATAGCAACAGCAGCAAAGGAGGAATGGGAAGAAGAATTTTTGTTTTATTTGGGGGCCACACCTGGTGACGCTCAGTGGTTACTCCTGGTTCTGCACTCAAGGAACGATATAAGGTGCTGGGGATCAAATCCAGGTTGGCCCCATGCAAAGCAGGCACCTTACTCACTGTACTATCTCTTGGGTCTGGAAAAGGAATTTAAAAACGATTTTCTTTTGCTTTCAGTGTTAAGATAGCTCAAAGGGCCGGAGGACATGTTCTGCATGCAGAGCCCTGAATTCAATCCACTGCACTGCATGTCCCCCCTGGCCCCGGAACACGGCTGGGAGCACCCCCTCCTCCCCGGCACCAAGCAGGGAGTAGCCCCTGAGCACTCCTGGTGCGACCCGCAAACTAAACCAAACTAAAACCCACCAAACAAAGAAAGCAACGGCCAGCAGGACAGGACAGGACCGACATTAATAAATGTTTCCTAATTCCCACCTGTGAGAAAGCATTGGGCTGGCGAAATGTCATTCATTCTCTTCAACTTCAGAGTGTCAACACGGAATTCCTTTGTGGAGTTTGCCAGTCTTCATTTAGCAAAAATGAAATCACGGAGGGGGGACGGTGTCAGGAAAAGGGGGTGGCCTGAGGTGGGGTGTTGAGGGTGGGCCCCTGAGACAATGGTGGCGGGAAGCGGACACTGGTGAGGGCTGTGGTGTTGGAATGTTGTCGACATGATTTCATTGACAATTTTGTAACATTGTAAAGCACGGTGATGAAAACAAAATAATTTTTTTTTCTAAAGAAACCACAGGAAAGTGGTGTTCTGGGCCCGAGGTCTCTGCTCTTGTCTCTGGCTGGGCTGGCGGACCCTGCCCGACCCTTCCTGAGGAATGCAGTCTCCACGGGAGTGCGTTCCACCTCTCTCTCCCATTCGCAGTCGTTATTTATTTATCTTTGGAAGTCGGGGAACCAGAGCCTGCAGTGGGAGAGACTTGTGTAACCAGGGGGGGAAGCTCAGAAGCCAGTGGGGGGCCCTGGCGACCTAGAGAATCATCTAACTGGAAATGTGGGACACGCACACAGCAGTGAGGGGGTGGGGAGAGAAGGGGCTGGTCACCCGTGTCACACTGGGTGGTCCAGGAAAGCCCCTTAGCAGTGACAGCTCAGGGATAGCCAGCAAGTCTGTCTCCAAAGCCAGACAGAGGCGGCGGTGGACCCTTCCTCCTGTCCCCACTCCCAGCTGACAGACCCCCGGGCGGACTTCCATCCACCCTGGCCCAAGACCCAGCCCGACTGACCCCATTCTGTCCCCAGAACCCCCACCCCCACCCCAGGATGCCCTGAGCCCCCCAGAAGCTATTCCTGAGTGTGCAGCGTCTGGAATATGCACTGCCGGGTGTGGCCCCAAAATGAGAAGGGCCAGACGTGGCCCAAAGCCACTTACCTTCTGCGTGCTATAGACAAGGCCCCCACCCCGCCCCGCCCCCCAAAGTACCCTAGTCCATTCTCATGCCTCCGCTTACATTCATAAAGGCAGGGCAGGGGCTGGAGAGGTAGCACAGCGGGTAGGGCGTTTGCTTTGCACGCAGGCGACCCAGGTTCGATTCCCAGCATCCCATATGGTCCCCTGAGCAGAGCCAGGAGTAACCCCTGTGCATCGCCGGGTGTGACCCCCCTCCCCAAAAAAAGAAAGCAAAAAAAAAAAGGCGGGGCAGCCGGTCTGCACCCCCACCCCCCACACACACATACACACATACATGCACACACCACGGGGGTGGGGGGTGGGCAGCCGCCCACCCGCCTTGGCTGGCCTTCGCCGGTGACCCCTCCGGGCCGGACAAGGTCACGGGCTTCCCTGGACACTCGGGCCCGCGGAGTGCCAGCCGGCCCCCGCCGACGGCCCCTGCCGCGCGCTACCGTCCCGGGCAGGGCACGGCCCGGCCGGGGCGGGGCGGCCAGCGCCGGGGGCAGCGGCGGCGCGGCGGGGACGGTCCGGCGGCGGGAGGCGCTAGGGCCTGGCGGACGGGCGGGCCGCGGGGGCGGGCGGGGGCGGGCGCGGGGGGCGGGCGCGGGGGGCGGGCGGGCGGCGCCGCCGCCTCCCGGCCCGGCCACCCGCCCGCCGCCGCCGGCCCGCCGTGACAGCCGGGCGCCCGCCGGACATGCCCGCGCGGCGCGGCGCGGGGCGATGGGCTGATGCGCGCGGGCGCGGGCAGGATGCGGGGCGCGCCGGGCCGGCTGCTGCCGCCGCTGCTGCTGCTGCTGCTGGCGCCCGGGCTGCGCGCCCCGCCCGGCTGCCCCGTGCCCGTGCGCGGCTGCAAGTGCTCCAGCGAGCGGCCCAAGGGCCCGGGCGGCGGCGGCGGCGGCGCCCCCAGCCCCGCGCGCCGCCGGGTGGTGTGCGGCGGCGGGGACCTCCCGGAGCCCCCCGCGCCCGGCCTCCTGCCCAACGGCACCGTCACGCTGTGAGTCGCGGGGGCGGGGTGGGGGCGGGTGGGGGCGGGGCGGGGAGGGGCGCGGGCCGCACACCTGTGCGCAGGTGAGGGCGCGGCGGCGCGCCCGGCCCGTTAGGTCCGCGCCGGCCGCCGAGCGCGCGTGCCAGCTTCCCGCCCGCCAGCCCGCACGGGCCCGGGGGCGCGGGCACCGACGGCCCCGCTTCCCGGGAGACCCCCGCGCCACGACCCCTCCGTCCCGCCCGCCCTGCACCCTGCTGTCAGCTCTGGCCCGCATCCCGCCCCGGGTGTCGTCGAGCCTGGGCTCCGCATCCCTCCCGACTTCTTGCGCCTAGGGGAGCGCCTGCACCCGCAACCCATGCCCGCATGCCCCTGCCCCCCACCACCCTTCTCCTTTCGCTTTGGCCGCTGCAGGCTGACCCAGGCCGCCTGGTGGGGATCCAGGGTCCCGCAGCGGCCGAGGAGGAGGAGGATCGAGACCCCTCCTCACTGCCCCAGCATGTGCCCAGGGCTCTCTGAGCACTGTGGACGGAGGCCCGTGCTAGCCCTTCCTGCCCGGCGCTGGTCCAGCCTCCAGGCCGCTTCCCTTTCCCTGTCCCCCGGCCCAGCGGCAACTGTAGCCTCGCTAGCCCTTGCCCCAGTCGTCCCACTCGATTGTGTCTAGAACAATGTGGTGACACCTCTGCTCGGTGAGTTCACAGGCCGCCTGCTTCCTGACAGGACGCAGCCTCTGAGGCTGCACTGGCCTGTGTGCGCCGGAGCCAGGGATGTGTGACAGTGGGCTCGCATTGTGTGTGTGTGAGACAGCGAGGTGGCATGTGCCTGTGTGTGCATGTGTGTAGCTGTGAAGTGGCACACGTCTGTGTGAGCGCGTGCATGTGTGTGTCTGTGAGTGCATGTCTGTGTGTAACGTGGGGTAGCATGTGTCTGCATGTGTTTGTGTGTGACAGTGGGGTGGCATGTGTCTGAGTGTGTGTGTGATAGCTGTGGGGTAGCATGTGTGTGTATGTGTGAACAGTGGTGTGGCATGTGTCTGAGTGTGCACGCGTGTAACTGTGGGGTGGCATGCATCTGTGTGAGCGCACGCACGTGTGTGTGTAACTGGTACGGTATGTGTCTGAGCATGTGTCTATATCTCTGTGTGTGTAACTGGCATGGCATGTGTCTCTGTGAGCATGTGTCTCTGTATGAGTAACTGTGGTGTGGTATGTGTCTCTCTGTGAGCATGTTTGTGTGTATATGAGTGTGAGTATGTGTAACTGGTGTGGCATGTGTCTGTGTGTGTCTGGGTGTGTAACTTGGTGTGGCATGTGTCTGTGTGAGCACACGTGTGTGTATAACTAGTGTGGCATGTGTCTCTGTGAGCGTGTGTTTCTGTGTGTCTGTATGTGTATGTGTCTGTGTCTGTGTGTGTAACTGGTGTGGCATATGTCTGTGTGTGCGTCTGTGTGTGTAACTGTGGTGTAGCATGTGTCTGTGTGAGCTCACACATGTGTATGTAACTGTAGTGTGGCATGTGTGTGTGTGAGCACACACATGTGTGAGTGTAACTGGTGTGGCATTTGTCTCTGCAGCATGCGCATGTGTGTATAACTGGTGTGACGTGTCTGTGTGAGTGTGTGTCTGTATGTCTGTGTGTCTATATGTGTGTGTGTCTGTGTGTGTAACTGGTGTGGCATGTGTGTGTGTGTGTGGGTCTGTGTGAGTGTAACTAGTGTGGCATGTGTCTGTGTGAGCACATGTCTGTGTGTGTGTAACTAGTGTGGCGTGTGTCTTTGTGAACGTGAGTCTGCATGTGTCTGTGTGTGTAACTGGTGTGGCCCGTGAGCATGTTGTGTGCGTGCCTGTGTGGCGTGTGTCTGTGTGTGGCGTGGGAGAGGCTGGAGGCCCTCTGTCTGTTCTCTCCCGCCGCCAGCCGCTCGGGGACGTAGGGGCCGGCCAGGGAGACCAGCTGTGTTTGCTCATCCCTCCGCGTCCCCAGTGGTGTTGAAGGGTCCAGACAGGCCGGGCGCTGCCCAGCCCACTCAGCTCTGGAGAGGAAAATGCTTGCTGTGTAGGGCAGCTGGGCCCTGCCCACTCGCTCCGGGCGTGGCGTGTGTGTGTGTGCGTGCGTGTATGCTTGTGTACACTTGATCTCGCGGCTGCACTCACACACATGTGTTGTATGTTGCCTCTGCGCGTGTGTATGGGGATTAGGGACGCTTAGCATCTGAAGTCAGGAAAAGAGGGGAGAGTTCGAAGGTACTTTTGCAGTACATCTTAGAATGATTTGGAGCTAATGCTTTCCAGCCATGGCCAATTCCCATGGACGCCACTCCCGGGAGAGCGCGGGCCAGCTCGGGGTGAGAATCCCCCGTGGCGGGTGGTGGCGAGCGTGGCTGCTAGCTCAGCTCTGGTCCCAACTATCCCCGGGCAAGGCCTCGCCCCTCTTTCATCTCTGGCCAGTCCCACAGCTGGCTTAAGATAGTTTCCAAAGAAATAGGCCCCTCGCCGTGGCAGGATACCCCCCAGGGTCAGGGAGACCCTAGAGAAGCCCTTGAGAACGCACCAACATGCAGTCTGGAGCTGGGCTGAACCCCGGCTGCCCACTGTTCCATATCCCCCGCCCCACAGGATCCTCCTGACCCTGACTGCTGCCCCCCACCACACACACACACGCTTCGCCCTCACCGCATTGGCATCTGTAGGAGAAAGAGCTCAGTGCTTCTGTAGCAGGACGGTCCAGGGACTCGGCCACTGGCCCCCAGTGTACATCTTAGGAGGGAGTCCAGGAAAGGGCTTCAGCCCCTAGTCAGAGAAGAGCAGCTGGACCCTCTCTCTCCCCGGACCCTCTCCCATGACCCTCTCCCCGGAACTTCACCCTCTCCTGGATCCTCTCCCGAACCCTCTCCCCGACCCTCTCCCGAACCCTCTGCCGGACCCTCTCCCCGACCCTCTTCCGAACCCTCTGCCGGACCCTCTTCCTGGACCCTCTCCTGAACCCTCTCCTGGACCCTCTCCCTGGTCTCCCAAAGCTTCTTCCTCACTCTCTTGTTTGTTCCTTCTCGCATTGAGCCATTGCCATTCAGCTTGTCACCCGGTATGCACCCCAGGATTTAAGCCAACAGCTCGGGCATCATGACTTCTTACCTTCTGCCTCTTCCTTTGTGTTTGGTTTGTTTGGTTTCGTTTTGGGGAGGGAGTGAGGGGAGGCCCAACCTGGCAGTGCTCGGGGTCACTCCTGGCTCTGCTCTCGGGAATCACTCCTGGCGTTGCTTGGGGGACCATGTGGGATGCTGGGGATCGAACCCGGGTCAGCTCATGCAAAGCAAGCACCCTCCCGGCTGTGCTGTCTGTCCAGTGCACCCCGCCCTTTCCCTGTGGGACAGGCCGCCCCGTCCCGTCCACACAGCCGCCTCTCACCCAGCCCGGGCAGTGAAAGCCTCAGGTGTGAGGCCTGGCTGCAAGCGTCTCCAGCAGCTTGGAGACTGAGCACCCTCGGGTTTCCCTCCCAGGGGGTCCTCCCACCTCCCCACTTATCCCACCCCCTGCCACCGCTTCTATAAACCGGAGCCTCCTCTCCCGACCCCCTGCCATCCCCACCCTTCAATCCTGCATCCCCTCCTGCTCCCTCTGTCCCACCCCACCCCGTCTCGCTGCCTGGGCTTCAGGGCCACTGTGGGCACCGTGGCTTCATGGTTCTATGGAGGGCGGGGGGGGCCATGGCAGGTGGTTCCAGCAGGAGAGAACCAGGTGTGGGGGGTTTCAGGCCTCTGTAAAGCCCCCTCCCTCCCACACTCTTGGTGGCAGCAAGTGATGCCCCCTGGTTTCAGCTCTGGAACTTCCCCTGAGAGAGGTGTCCTCGCCGAGAGAGGGCACAATGGGAAAGCCACTAGCCTTACATGTCGTTGACCCCAGTTTGATCCTGATACCACTTAGTCCCCCCCGGCACCACCAGGTGCGACCCAGTCTCCCGAAGAGAGAATTCTTGGGTTGAAGAGGTAGTACAGGGGGAAGTGGTTGCCTTGAATGCCGCCGACTCTGGTTTGATTCCCGGTGCCAGAAATGGTCCTCCTAGGCCTGCAGGAATGACCTCTGAGCACTACCAGGTGGAGCCCCCAAATCGGAAAAAAGAGATAGGGGGAATTCTTGGCAAAGTCTGCTAATAGATTATTCCAGAAAGTCCTTCAAGATCTCCCAGGACACTCTGGCAGCCCCTCAGAAGAGAGCCTCCCAGGTCACGCACTCTTAGAAGGCCCATACTGAAGACCCTTAGACTCCATCACGAATCACAAATCACGACCATCCTGTTATTCGTCCATTGCCTTGAGCAGGCCCCAGTAACATCTCCTTCATCCTAGCCCTTAGACTCCATACAGCAGGTAAACTGAGGCCGAGAGGGAGAGGGCTGGCGTCTGCCCCCCGAGCAGCAGGGGTAGCTGGTTCGGTGCTGTCGGGTTCTCTCAGGTGAGGAGCTCGCCCCTCATCCTGCTGACCTTGGGGTCCTCTGGACCCAACAGTGAATTCCTGCCCTTTCCCTGCTGGCCCCAGGCCCTTTGACCTGGGTGGGAAGGGGGCAGAAGGGACAAGGATGGGGCCCTCCAGGCCTCCCTAGTGAACAGGGCCCTGGTCGTCAGCTCACACGGCTGCTCCAGCCGCGGGGAGACAGTTTCTGGAGACCAGATCCGGGATCCGGGCCCTCCCCGCGACACCCCACCCGCCCGCCAGCGGGACCCAGTTGGTTGGGGCAGTTTGGGGCAAAGTGTGCCCGCCGCCCTGCGCAGCGCCCGAGGGGAGTGGAAAGATGCTGGCAGGCGGGCGGGCGGGCAGCGGCGTCTCCTCCCCCCCCCTCCCTTCTCCTCACCCTCTTTCCCCATATGGTTCTCATAAGGCCTGGGCCCAGAGACAGAGCCAGAGGAAGTGGCTGTGTACAGAGAGCTTTTGTGAGCGGGAGGGGGAGGGGACAGCGGCCAGGGAAGGAGGGGAGAGAGGGCCTCGGGGAGCCGACCCGCACACAGCCCTCCCCAAGGCAG